ATTTGGTGCTCTAATTTCCATTTAACTGAAAAACGATATTACCGAAATAACCACAATTGCAAAATGTGTAATAATGTAATAAAAGACTGCCGTCTAAGTTTCACAGCGAAAAATTTTAATTATACCGTCACCAGTGCCAAAAATATCAGTACATTTATCTCATTAGGGTAGTATAATTCAAGTTCCTTTGTAGTAGTTTCTTTCTTTTCATCATTTCCATCAAAGTTTCTTAGCGAATCTACCAACAAAAATCAGCAACCATTGCTTCTGACCATTTTTCATTGTAGCGTGTTTTAATATCCATAATATCCTGATGAAACCGTTCACCATGCTCATCTGATACGGCACCGAGATTTTCCGGCAAGAAATCTAAATGCGAGTCTAAAAAATTAATTTTGCGACGCATCAATGCAAAGGCTCTGTTTATTAACATTTTCTGGAAAACTCAGTTCTTCAAAAAGCCCTGCAGCATTAAGGCAACATACGAAATCAATTTCTTTGGAACAGTAACTCGTAAAATATTTTTGTCTTGTGCAAAAATCTGAGACTCGTACTTTTTGCCAACAAAGTCCACAGTTTCAATCTTGATCCGAGTAACTGAGCTTTAGATTTTGATAGCCCCAAGTCTCTAACGCGATCATTTAAATCAGATCGCTTAAGAAAATAAGGTTCGTTGATGGGCTTGAAGATCCAGATAAAGTGTTTGATGGTGAAGATGTACCTACAGGTAGAAATGAAACTCGATTGAGCCTGTAGTCCAGAGGCACGTTTATTTTCTATCTTCTCGCTATTTTTTGGAGGTACTGGCGGTAAACTGCCTTGACGACGAAGAAGTGATCTCTTTGCAGATGCTATGTTTGAATATCTTGTTGATGTCATGCAGAAATAACATGATTTTATTTTGACATATTTCATTTTTATGATTTTAGGGCTCACTCCAAAACATTGGCACCGTAAACGGCATAGATTTGTAACTTTCTTCAACCCAATCTCACAACGTTCTTGAGGAACTGTTACAGCAAATTTTTGGTAACCAACTTTTATCCCTCTCATCAAAAGAAAATCAACAATTTATGTATTTTTGGGCGCAACAAAATATAATATGGATATTTGCAGGGCGTCCCGTAAGCACATTATGAAAAGGGTACTGCGATATTCTTTAAACCAAAGGAAAACCTTTGACCTAACTTTTATTAACAAAAAAGTTCTAGTAGTTTTTGTACCACGACACTCGAGGATTCACCACTTGTCCAAAATGGATGAACTCCATTGTTTAATTAAAATATGAGTCTTACATAAGAACAAATTTCTACTGAATTTCACTAAAATACATCGTACCATTTTTCCGTTATTTCAAAAAATATAATAGGAGAGGAGCCAGACATTTTTGTTAAAAAAGTCGGCAGTCATAAGTAGGCAGATCGTATTATTTTGATCCAAAGACTATTACAGTACTCTTTTGAATACGTGCTTACGAGACACGTTGTATAATATAATTTAATTCGAGACATAATCTCACTAAATACCACTCGCGCTGAATGTCCTCCGGACTCGTGGAATTATGGAAAACATGCGTTCGCGAAAAATTTTCGGTAATTTCAAAACTCTCCTGATATTACCCCCGCAATTCAATGAAGCATTTAATATTTATAGGTAGTTCAATATTTAATTTCAAAAATAAATTGGAAATCCAAATCAAAATCAATTCCTGGGTTTCAGTCATTTATTGTCTCTATTTACCAATTAAAACACGTTTCGGTGTATTTTTCCACCATCATCAGTTTTTGTGTGTAGCTTTGTTGCTGCTTTAAGCCTTGGCATACATTTGGAGTCTTAATTTTGTCCATTTTGGACACAAAGCGAAATACTGTTTATATTGATTTCTTTTACTTTCAGCTATCTTTCTTCTATAAAATGTGTACCAAGGCTTAAAGCAGCAACAACGCTACACAGAAAAACTGATGATGGTGGAAAAATACACCGAAATGTGTTTTAATTGATAAATAGAGACAATAAGTGACTGAAACCCAGGAATTGCTTTTGATTTGGAGTTAAAACACAGTCAGAAAAGTACGTACAATAAATTAGAAATAAAAGGCAGATGCTTCCATTTGACAGAAATAAGTTTATGATCGCCACTTATTTGTTGCCCACCTTGTGTAAATAATGTGGCTTCACAAATTGTATTTACAAATTAAAATTGATGTTTCTGCTGAATTGATACATGATTTATAGGGCCTACTGCATATCAAATTGATAATGAGCCTGTAAACTTCCACATACCGTGAACCATTGTTGCTCCCATAGAAAAATGTAATCAAATGCATCTATTTAATATAACTACCTAGCCAAAATTTTAAGGAAATAACAAGCCAATCGGAAAACTGTGCAGTTCTAGGAAAAACAGACTTCAGGCAGGATAAATAAACTTCATCTTTTTATTGGCTCTCTGTGGTTTCGCAAGCCATCTAACTGCACCAACTCACAAATTAACACTGTAGGTTAGAGGACTAATCAGATTTAAATTTCTGCTATGGTGGAGTTTTTATAAATCACAAATGATTGAAATTAAGTTATCAAAACATCTAGGCTTTAATAATTGGAGCAAGAGACAAAGGGCGTTAGAAGAAAATGGAATAATGCGAAGATCATCGATCTGTGCACGTGTTTGAAGTATTTTTCAATGCATGTCCGGATCTAGGTCTTAGACAATTGAATGCATTTAACACTGATATGCACAACAATTTATTATAACTTATTAGTACTAAAATTGTATCGTACATAATTATTAACATGTGCGTAACACTCTTTGCGTCCGCTTTAGTTGCACCTAAACATTATATCGTTAATGTAACGAACACTCGATGATATGGTATTTTAACATTAACGCATTCGAAACTAATAATAAGAAGCTTGAAATTGATCCAAATGCAATAAGCAAAGTGTAACGAAACGTGGCTTTGCACCATCCAATTTCAATTTAAATTTAGAACACTTGTAAGTAAGGGGTACAATGGCCGGTGCAGCTGCTCTTCATGGTTGTTTATTTGGCAAACAAATTTATTTGAAAGAAAACTTGGGTATGCAGCACTAATAATTGAGCGTAGGTTTTGTAGAACAACAATGAAGTAATAGGGCCTGGACATATTTTAAGTTTTTATTAAATAGTGAAATAACAATTACACATTATTTTTTCATACGAACGTACTTCGCTGTTTACAGAAAAAAATATGAAAATTTGTGTGCCGTTTCTATTTCTTTTTCTTTGGCTCAAGTAAGTTCAAAACTGGAATCGGCATCTCAAGAGGAGCGGAAAAATATATTAATATATTTAGAAATTTTATCGAATAACTGCTCCTGTTAATTTAATCATATTTAATTTGATGCAAATTTTTAACAATCTAAAAATCGTTGAACAGAAAAACCACAAAAACGGTCACATCAAACGTAAGAGTTTAATCAAACTCTTTCATTCGTAAAACGTCTTCGGCATTTGATCAAATCTCCCGCCGATATGATACTATAGAACCTTGTCCCTCGCCAATCTATCTATATCTTTTGTTCGCCATAGATAATATTACAAAAGCGCTCTGAAAAGGATTGTTATTCCCCTTTCGGCTTAGTTTCGCCAAACATCAAATCATCAATGTCAGCTTGAATTTCCACTATGGTTGAATGCTTCCAAATAGAGTATTTGTATCATTATCGAATGGGTCATAAAAGGACGAGTATAAATATTGTCTTTCTAATTATTGCGTGTCAGGATTTTGCACCATTAGATGGATAACCATACTTGAGGGTGTTGTGAACATGTCTAATTAAACTAGTATGGTCATTGCAAGTATGTATGCATCATTTTTATTAATCGAGTGTCCTGAAATAAAAAGAACAGTCATCAAAAACGTCATTGTTTTTCAACGCTTTGGGCAACTTGATATGAAATTTTTATAAAAATGTAAACGTTTTGTCGTAAAAATGTCGTGAACGTGAAAACGTCGCGTGTAGATTTGTCGTAAACGTAAAAACTGTTGTTAAATAGTGCCGCTTTACACGCCTCATCTCAACAAGGTTATCAATTGAAATTCGAAGAAAACTTCTTGTTATAGAACGATGTATTTTAAAACAAACAAAAAATCAGCATGTTATAATAAACACTCGTCTCAATTTATTGTATTTAGTATTGCTGCTGAATTGTAACTCTAGGTTAATTGCGTCATTAAAACAAATATTTTCCATGATAAGATGTTGTTGGGTGGTTTTCACCCAACAGTAAGGCTAAAAACAGATTAGGCGGTTTTCGCCGACTCGGCAGCAGCTTGTGACAAAACACACATAGCAGTGCCAAAACCACTCGAAACTAGACCAAAAAGGGCTCTGCAGCGGAGTAACCGTGCAATTTGTGCTACGTATGTTCTTCATTCTACCTGAGGTTTGAGCATATTGCCTTCGGCCTTTTTCATAAACTTAATCCAATTTTTTCATGCAACTAAATTATTATCTGCTCTATAAATATATAGAGCATCTATTGCTGAAACGTTCAGCAGGTTGTAGAATACCACCATAGGGCATCGTCTTACATTTCTTTAAATGTTATCTTTCTGGTAAAGTGTAACTACTAAGTGTACACCAATTTTAATGCGGTTGTAAAATATAATCATTTCTGGAACTGCCGCCACTATCTTTGGTTACCTTGGTGCATGGTGGAAAGCAATAATATAATTATTTTCCTTTCCCTGTTTATTTGCTAAAACATGTTTAGGTGTCTTGCTCTTGTGTCTTCCAATCTAAATATTGCGCCTAATAGATGAAAAACTTAGGGCTTCAACCAATAACAATCGAAAAATGCTTATACTGAATCATTAATTAATATTATGTAATTAACATGGTACAATGGAACAAGTCGACAGGCTGGCCAAACAAATTAACGGAGATTTTGAGGTCAAATGATTCTGTTTATACATCGTTATCTGATATATCAATTAGGCTTCCGTAATAATCACGGAACAATGAGGCAGGTCCCCAGACTTGTCAAACAAATTGGCAGAAATTTTGAGTACAAATTTGTTGCGCCGCTGTTCTAGGCGTTGGTCAGGTCGCGTGTGGCACGAGGGGCTCTTCCATAAATCGGACAAAATCTCCCCTCCGAAGGTAATTTTCAGATTATATCTACAATATCTACAATACCGGCACTTCTTGATAAAACAGCAAAAAAATCCATGGATATGGCCCCCATCAACGCAGGGGCATCACACCGGAGCTGACGTGCCCACTACCAATCCACTGGAGTTTAACCTTTGTGGCATGTAAAAGACGAATGATACTCGGTTTTAATTTCATCGAAAGACGATAGTGTTACGAACTCGTTACGTTACGAAGTAGTGTGTGGACTACATTTCCAACAAGGACTGTTTTGCATATTGTTGTGATTCATCATTCATAGTACTAGGGCAAATGTTGCACTTTACTTGAATTGAACTTAAAAATTCGATTTGTTCAATTTTTTGAAATGTGCTGACACGCAAAAAACATCGATATTTCCATAATGCAAATGTTCTGGAAAAAATTAAATTTCAACAATTAATACCATTAAAAGTTTGTTGAATTGAAAATTGAATAATTTATTAAATTTTCTTCGTTTCTTCCTTTTTTAATGTTAGAATTTATTCCGATTTCTGTTGGGTTATTGAACGCGAATCCGAAAATGTTTTTCCAGCTTTAGCAATACATGTAAAAATTGCCTTTTCCAACTCATAAATCTTAAATAACCGAGAAATAAAATTGTTTATGATAACTGTAAGTTGCATGACAAATCAAAAGATGATCTTTTACTCGTGCAATGTCGATGGAATTTTATTGTTATTCATGCCTCTCTCACAAAACTGACTAGCAGCACTACGTTTGAGGAAAAACCTCCCAGTCAATAAACTCAACTAAGTGCTAATCAAAATCGAAATCAACTTACTAATCAAAACTAACAAAAGTTTGTGAGAAAATTTTTCCGACAACCCTTAGTTTTCGGTCTATTTGGAAAACTCATTTCGGTAATGTTTCGTTTTTTTTCTCAACACTATTACTAGATCTAAACTTTCCATAACATTTGACAAGTTTTATTTAATTTAACCGAACTGGTGACTGCGAACGATTGAGATTCAGGATAAAATTTTATTTGGTTGGAATTGAAAGCAAAAGTTTCCTTGCATTTGATGGCTTGCAGATTATTAGATTCATAAACGCCTTTCAGGTAACAACGGAAATTAACCATGTTTCTTTCCAACTCACTGCATGTAAAAGTGTTAACAATTTCAATTATTTCCCATAATCGAAAAACTTTGCTCTTAGAATTCTGAAATGAATATAATGTGACTTAATATAACGACAAATTTCATAAAGTAATCGATTTGCATGGTTCCAAAGCAATTGTAGCCCAAATCGACCGATTTTTTTGTAAAAGTTCAATAACATGATGCCAATGTAATGATGCTTTTGGGGGAACTAATGAAATCTCAAAAAAGGTTCAATTACATAATTACGAGTCGGGAATAAACATTAATCTTTCTGTAACCTATTGTCATTTTGCCCACTCCTGTCGACTTTCGCCTTTATATTTGGCACAAAGAAAACAACTGCCTAAAAAAGTGGAATTTTTTTATTTGCCAACGGGCGGCATTGCAGACACATTTACGAGACCTGATAAGTATCGCCCACTTCGTCGGGAAAAGATCTTCAATCGATCAATGCGGTGTTTGTTCGGTATTCAGTTTAGTTGAATCAATCAGTTGATTTCAAAAAGCAAAGGGATGAAGGGATACGATATAATCAGGCCGGTGCTCTTATTCTTCGTTATAAGATTTGTACCTTAAACTTTTCAGTCGTTTCCGAGTTTTAAACTATTTTAGACTGAAATTTTATCTATCCTACAAAGAGCTCGAGTGCACTTTCAGCTTAATTGGATACTGTTCTTCCTGTCATTGTTGGGTAAGACGTTATCTGGCATCAATCAGAACAAATAAAACCTTTGCCTTATAAATCCAATTCTTTTTCAACATATAAAATTACCGACTTACACCTTTTTGCAAAATGCGTTTCTGCAGTTGTTTTATTATTCTACTTCTTAAAAGTCAGGTATTTTCTATCATTTCTAATACAATACGTGAATCGAAATTGACGTCATTCCTTTAAAGTGGCAATAAGGGCTTACTTGGAGAGTACGAGAAAAATATTGAAATTTCTTTATTCGAAATCTTCTAGAATATATTAGCAGTTGAAAATCGAATTTCTTTGTTGAATTAACGTTGTTAATAAGTATTATTTTGAAATGGTGGGACCATTTCAAAATGGGTATTATTTGGTTGGTAGCCTATTGGAATTCCTATATATTTATCTTTACTTCAAATTATAAAAAAACTGTATATTCAAAATCAAATTTCAAAGCGGCATTGATATATTTTCATCAAGTCATCAAATTCAGTCATTAACAACTGTTATAGGAGGACAGAAAAAATAATAAAATTAATTAATTGTTATTAAAAACTGAGACATTTGCAAAAAACTATAACAGAAATACGGCAGCAAGGTTTTTCAAGGTAATTTGCCTTTTTCAAGGTTTTTCAAGGTAATACCTGTGGCTTCGTAATTATTTAAAACTCCGAAAACCA